TGGCGATCCCTTCCGGCGGAAGTGCGGGCCGCGCGGAGGACCGGCCAGAGCGGCCCCTATTGTTGCTGTGTCATGGGGGTGCGGCGGCGGCCCCTGGCGGCGGCGCCAGGGAGCGCGGGCGGGTTTCCGCTGGGCGCTCGGGACCTGCGGCCATGAGCCCACCCCGTCGCTGTCCTCAGTTCCGCGGAGACCCCAGGCACAGGAGGCAGAGTCCACCCAGAATAGTGTCCTGAGGATAGCCTGCGCGGGGACCCCCAGAGACAGGAGCCAGAGGCCACCGAGAAAAGTGTCCCTGAGGATCAGCTGTGCAGAGACTCTCAGGGACAGGAGCCAGAGTCCACCCGGAAAAATATCCTGAGGCTTAGCTCTGCGGGGACCCCAGGCACAGGAGCCAGATTCCACATGCCTAGGAAGGCAGGTCTGGTGTGGCGGTCAGCCACATGGTCCCATATAGACCTGGAGCTTGGTCAGATGGAGCCACCACTTGTAAGCCCGCAGAAATCCAGCCCTTCTGATATTCATTATTCTGTGAACAAGATTCCAGGACCTGAGATGTAAAGAAAGTAGTCACAAGGTTGAAAAAGGTAGAAGTTAGTCTTATGACACTGGAGCTAGGAAAGGATCAGCTTCATGTTATTTTGAGTTAATTTGAATTAAGGCAAGCAGCGTGAGAAGGCCTGGGCAGCACCAGCCAACTGCCCCACCGGAGGGAGAAGTTTCGTGGGATTTGCTTAAAGCTGCACAGAGCTGAGGTCTTAGAGCAGGTTCCCAGGGCTGCCGGGGGTGTCAACACACCAGGACGTTGGCCTTTCCACCCCACTCTCCCAAGCATCCAGTGGAGTTTTCCAGAAGTTGATGAGGGCAGTGGACCAGACTGAACTGCCTGACCAGATTGTCCTCCATGAAGCCAGACGAGGTATTTGCAAAAATGTGAAGCAGTGTCTTGGTTCCCTCCAATCTTCTTTGACAGTTTTAAGAAATTTAAAAAGCGTGGATACAGAGTCACTGCACCCCGCCCTCCCTGTCCCCACCCTCTCCCCTGCGCCCATCTCTCGTCTCTCAGGTCCCATGACCCAGGATCTGGGTAGCCATCCCCACGCAGCTTGGTAATTTACTGTCTATGTATGTAGACATAAAATTTATGTGTTTATCAGTTTTTCCTAAAAAGTCTAGAAGTGAAAAGTATTTTTTCATTCAACATTTTTAAAATTTACTCATGTTGGTACAGGTAGCTCTCACGTGTTCATTGCAACTCCTGTATGACATTCTGATGGATGAAGTCTGCAACTTATGTATCTGTTGTGGTGTTGGTGGACATTGTTGTATTTAGTTTTCATCTTTACACTATTATGATGCTTCAGTTTTAAAACTTTTTTTTTTCCTTTTTTGTCTTTTTTAGTGACCGGCAACGGATCGCAACCCTCAGTGTCGCGCCCGTACTGGACCGGGACTGGCAACGGGATCGCAACCCTCGGTGTCACGCCCGCACCTCGCTCAGCCAGTGAGCAGCCAGTCTATATGTGGGATCCGAACCCTCGGCGAGAGCGCCGCCACGCTCCCAAGCGGCGCACTGTAGCAGTGCGCCACCGGGCTGGCCCCAGTTTTAAAACTTTAATTGATCTAAACATATACTATTTTTTTCATTTTGGAAAATATAGCTATTTTTCACTTAAAATTTTATATATGTTAACAAGTAATGGATTTGTTATTTTTCAATTAGTTAATATTTTTAAATGTCTTCCTTAAGCCCACAACAAAAGCCTTTTGGGTCCTTGATAGTTTTTAAGAATCTGAAGGGTCCCCAAGACCAGAGAGGCTGAGAGCAGCTGGTGTGCAGTGCTGTGGGCGCTAGTGACCGGAGGTCACCGATGCAGCAGCCTGGCAGGCACCCATCACCACACCCTGTGCAATGAGGGAAAGATGAGAAGATCCCAGCTGGCTTTCCAGACAAGAGGCTGGCAGGCAAGTGTCACTTGTTCAAAGTCATGAAAAGTTAAAAAGCTGCCAGTGGAGGCCGCAGGGAACCAACTTTGCAGAACCCAGAGACCACTTGTGTCCTGCTTCCAGGCAGTGACTTGTGAGGGGCCCTGGACTTAGCACTTCCTCCAGCTGGGGAGCCTGTGGCCTGGGATGGAAAAAAAAAAAACAGCAGACTCTACACATACATCAAGTGAACATCCAATACGTTCCAGACGTTCTACAGCAGGGACACAAGTTATGGAGATAGGCACCGTAGGGGCCACTGCAGGTGCCCACTCCCAGCTGATGGGCTGTGTGAGTGTAGCGGGTGTGACAGCACGCCCCCTGCCGTGTGACCTGTGCAGAGGACCCATCAGCTGCCAGGACCTGGTCCCTGTGCTGCCGTCCCCTGGGGCACACAGGCTGCCCTGTGTCAGAATTGCAGACAGTGAAGGACACACACCAGGGCCCCTAGGAGCCTGGCCTGACAGAGGCACTTGATGGGCAGTGGCGATTGTTATTTTATAATTGATCATCAATTTGCATTGATTAAAGTTAGTGGAGAATGTCTACAAAACGTCATTAGCTTCTAGAAAAGCAGTGTCACCAAAACGCGGGTAGTCAGCTAACGGGGTTTAGAATAACCAAAGAGATCTGCTAAAGGAAGTTGTTTCTGTTAATCCTACTAGAAAAAAAAAAAAAAAAAAAAATCAAACTAAACCAAAAAAATGTCCTGAACTGCAAGAAAGCACACCTGCAGCACTCGTGAGCCTCATGGTCCTGGTCCTTGGTGGTGGTGGGCATACAAGATGGCACAGCCATTGTAAACAGTTTGGCAGGCATGGTTTTTTTGTTTTTGTTTTACTTTGTTTTATTAGTAGACCTAACTTTTTAGAGCAATTTTAAGTTCACAGCAGAACTGAGCAGAAAGCAGACAGTGCCCCTCCCCACACACGCTCAGCCTTCCTTATTATCAGAGTCTTGACCACAGTGAGACATTTGTACCTTCGATGAACCTGCGGTGACACATCGTTATTGCCAGAGTCCATGGTTTATGCCGGAGTTCACTCTTGGTTCATTTTGTGCTGCTACAACAGAGTACCACAGACTGGGTAATTTATAAAGAAGAGAAATTTATTTCTCACAGTTCTAGAGGCTGGAAGTCCAAGGTCAATGTGCTAGAAGGTTCGGTGTCTGGCAAGGGCTGCTCTCTGCTTCCAAGATGGTGCCTTACTGCTGTGTCCACTGCAGGGGAGGAGCGCTGTGTCCTCGTGCGGCAGAAGGCAGAGGACAATCAAGGTGAACGCTGCCGGAAGCCTCTTCTACAAGGGCCTTCATCCCATTCACGAGGGAGGATCCCTCATGGCCTAATGACCTCTTAAAGGCCCAACCTCTTAGTCTATCACACTGTCCATTAGGTTTCAACACCAGAACTTTGGAGGAGATACATTCAAACCGTCACAGTACACCCTACCCCCCCCCCAAATTCCTGTCCTCCTCACACGCAAAGTACATTCACTCCATCCCAATAGCCCTAAAAGCCTTAACTCATTCCAGCACCAACTCAAAACTCTAGATAAAGTTCAGTCTCATCTGAACCAGATATGAGACTCAAGATTCATCCTGAGGCAAATTTCCCTCCAACTGTGAACGTGTGTTCACAAATCAAAGAAGTCACGTGCTCCCGAAATACAAAGGTGGAACAGGGATAGAACAGATATTACTGTTCTAAAAAGGAGAAACAGGCAAGAAGAAAGAAGGAACAGTTCATAAGTAAGTCCAAAACCCAACAAGGCAAACATTAAAACATGAGCCTTGAGGGCCGGCCCGGTGGCGCACTGGATAGTGCGCCGCTTGGGAAGCGCGGCGGCGCTCCCGCCCGAGGGTTCGGATCCCACATACAGACCGGTTCCCGCTCACTGGCTGAGCGAGGCGCGGGAGCAACACCGAGGGTTGCAATCCCGTTGCCAGTCCCCGGTCTGGTACGGGGGCAACACTGAGGGTTGCGATCCGTTGCCGGACATGGAAAAAAGACAAAAAAAAAAAAAAAAAACATGAGCCTTGAGAATAATCTTCTTTGACTTCATGTCCCACCTTCTCAAGACACTGGGGCTGGGGATTTGGTCCCCAAGGCTCCTGGTGGCCCCACCCCATGACTCTCCTGGTGGCCCCACCCCATGACTCTCCCACGTCATAGCTCTCACAGGCTGGAGTCAGCCTGTGGCTCTCCCAGGCTGGTGTTGCATGCTGGTGGCTCACAGGCCTGGGGTCTCAGGACAGCCTGCTCCCATGACTCCACCGGGCATTGCCCTATGGAGGCTCTCTGTGGTGGCCCTGCCATTGTGGCAGTTCTCCACCTGAGCCCCAAGGCTCTCCGAGGCATCCTTTGAAATCT